ACAATGAACAAGAAAGGACAAAGAATTGCATTTATAAAATACCTTGTGAATGCGATCAGTTTTATTTAGGTGAAACATCAAGGCCATTAAATGTTAGAATAAGTGAACATCAGTCTTATATTAAAAATAGAGTCCTAAAAGAGACGAATGGTAAAAAAAGAAAAATCAAAGAAGCGGCTTTAATTATGCTAAATGAGGCCAATTGTGTCGCAAATTCCTCGGCAGAATGTAGTAGGATCTGGTTACCAATATTGAAAGAGGAAGTTATTAATAAGAAAATACCAGTATTAGTAAGTCAGTAATATATAGAGGATACATCATTTATGTTTTTTTTTTATAACGAAACATATAAAATCAGAATTTTGGTGTTTATTGAAAGTAAACTAAATGCACGAACAAATACTTACCATGTCGGGATAGTATTATGAGGTTTTTTTTCCTGGTTTTTCCCTCATAATTTACTATGGAATCACTAACAGGAGAATTTTACTGTCATCATGTCATGTGTTTGTCTTTTTAAAGACGAATTATATGCTATGATTTTTTCTGACGGATATTCTCAAGTTAAAGTTGATTTCATGTAATCGAATGAACTTATAAGTAAAGTCGTCCCAGGAGCGCAACTCAACAATATTGGCAATATCATTTTAAAGTCGTCTACTTTAAAACGCATAATGTATGTCTGAATTGTCAATATAAATGAGTCAGATAAAATTAAATTATTAGAAGAATTTTTCACTATGTAACAAAAAACAAAATTTGTTTAATTTACTGTTTGTATTTTGAGAACGATTTCCGAAGTGGAAATTGAAACGTCAATAAACGTATTTTTATCTTTAATTGTGGCTTATTCCCAGTTAAATAGTAATTAAAACTAAAAAACGTTGCTGCGACATGGTTAACCAAAACATTTCAACCCCGCTGCCATTTCGCTTCCACAACTCTTTTGTGCTTAACCGATTACTTTTCAAACAACCAGCTAATTAGAGCAGTCCTAGTAAAGCTATTATTTCGATTATATCAGTATTTTTAGCAGAACGGGCTCTACAATACATCTCTTTCATTTGATCTATGAATCTGAAAGATGTTCCACTATCTTATCTACTTCATCCTCTGATTCAATGTCATTAAACTGTTATTCTGTGTCAGTTTATACTTACTCAAGCAATTGAAGTAGACGATTTTGCTCCTTTTCATAACTCATTGTGCTAAATAATAAATTTGATGTGTATATAATAGAATACATAATATCAACAAAATTACTCACCCCTTGTAAAATAAATTCCAAGAAACGGAAACAAAACAACAGTCACTTAAGTTCCTTAAGTGGTGGCGCCAAGTATGAAACCAAATAGGCTATAACATTTTAAAGATAAAAATCTGTCAAACGTTCTCGGCTCAACGGTGGATGTAATAATAAATATTAGTAAGGTACCAAGAGCACCAAGTTCAAACTCCACTCTTTTTATACCGTCTGGTACGACGCTTGGGTCTGAGAGACTTGTCGCCACCGCTGCAGGGTTAAACATATTCGATGTTCTTCAAGTAACATCACTGATCGAAGTCGGTAATACTGCTGCGATATGTTTTCTTTATAACTGAAATACCATCCATATCAGGAAATAGAAAACTGCTATATGCTTTTTTTGCAAGAATTTAACTGCAAAATCGGCATCTTGTAGGAAAATTATTTTTCCTATGTAATAAATTTCTAGTTTCTTAAAATACACAAATCTTACAAGTATAAAGGCATCTACAGAAAGACTAAAATCTTTTTTTTACCAAATCTATTTTAACTGATTTTTTCGTTTTTAATCTTTTTTATTTTCCTTTCTTCTTCTAGAATTTGCCTGTTTTCATACTCAGGCGTTGTTTTAAATTTTAGGAAATTGTAGAATATCAATTGTAAAATTATTATCATGATTCGTCATATAATCGAAAGGTTTTTAGACCTATTTTGCTAACTTTTAAAATGTTTCATTGGTTGGTTTAAAAAGTCTTAATTTTAATTGGTAAATAAAAATTAAGTTACTTAAAAAACAATATCGGTTTTTAGGTAGGTATTCTAATATGAAAATTGTCGTTTTCTAGTATAGTGGGAACGTAATTTCGTTGGAAGATTTACGGGAACAAGAGCTAATAAGATACTAGCAAATTGACAACAATGTTAGGGTAACCATTAGTCTACTCAACTGTAGCGTAGACATCTAATCTTAAATTAAATAAAAGTTATTATTTTTAGTGAAAATTTTGCCTTCACATGTCCTCAAATTATGTGGGTATCAATAAATATTTTATTTTACCAAAAAATTTCATCTTCTATAAAGTCTAAATAAAAAAGATCGGTGTTAACTTTTGTGATATATCTAGGTAATGATATCACTAATCGACTCGACTGACCAGAACTTATTGTATAATAATAATACCTTTATAAAATAATTGTTTATTATAAGTAATTATCACATACAATTAAACAGTATGATCAAATATTTATGTTTTACCAACACAATTGCTCATAAGTATTAAAATTTCCTATTTTATCCCTGATATCTTTGTTATTATAATCAGGAAAAATAGAGATTTTCAATCCGATTACATGTTTCAGTTGGTTGCTGTGATCTTTGTGACTTCTCTTCTGATTAACGAGAGAACAGTAGACGAAAATTTAGGAGTCACGTTTCTTCTCTTTATATTTTCTTTAAGTGTAAAACATATTAACTCTATTGGGTTCAATGTACAATAATAAGAAGGAAGTCTAAGCACGGTATGCCCATTACTGCGAGCACAGTTATCAACAACATATTCCTTCTGGTACTGTCTACTATGAGCAATCTCTTAAAAACTGGTTTTTACTATTATGATACCTCAAAATACAAATCTTTCTCAAATAAAAATTTATGAATTTGTTCCAAGTAATATTTTAATTTTTTCTCATTAATCTTAAATGATATGACGCGTTGTCCATGACAAGCACACTATAATTAGGTAGTTCCGGAAAGAAGAGATTTTTCAAACCATGATTCAAAAATTGAACTTTCCATATCCTCATGATAATCTAGAGATGTCTTTATTTTTTTGTAGATATAATATATCGTCGATCCATCCATTTTCTCAATCTCAGTATAAAATTATAATTCCCTCTCCTTTATTGGGTAGTACTGAATTAAACACTTTTTGTTATTATTCGTCCAATTTTTTTTCACGGTGTCATGAGTATCATACTGGGTCTCATCTAAATAAACAATATTTCGTTTCATTTTTTCTTCTTCTTCTAGTTCCATGACCGTTATCGATCGTTGGATATCATGTTGGCTACCATATTCGCTATCGTGACTTTATTGACAGCAGCTCTAAATAACGATGTAGTTGATTTTCCATACCATTGCCTTAGATTTTTTAGCCATGATGTTCTTCTTCTACCAGGACCACGATCATCTCTACTTATATATATTTAATCTATGACCACGATTACCTTGGATCTTTCCCTGAATGATCAGATATAAAATATCATGTTTTTCAGGGTGTCTCATAATGTGACCGAAGTATTCCAGCTTGCGTTTCTTTATTATATTGACCAGTTGTGTCGTTTGCTTCAGCCGTCTAAGGACCTCCTCATTTCTAAGTCTGTCCACCCAGCTTATATTCAGTAGTCATCTGTATACCCACATCTCAAAGGCTGTCAAGTGTTTAAAAATAGCCTCAGTTAGAGCCCACGCTTCCACTCCATACAGCAGGACAGCAAAAATGTAGCAAGATGTCATTCGAACTCTAAGGTCAATGCTAAGATCGTGACTGCAAAGTACGATTCTCATTTTTACAAAGGCAGCTCGGGCTTGTTCTACTCGACTTTTAATTTCTGCGATTGAATCCCAGCTCTTATTGATATTACTGCTGAGATACACGAGTTTTTCTACTCTGTCCAGTGTGGCATCTCCGACTTTTATACCGTCATCCTGTATATAATTTTGTTTGCTAACTATACTAACTCTGTTTCATTTTTAGATACCCTGTTATCTGTCTGATATAATTGTTTCTTAAAGAAATTATTCTAGTGCTTTCCTTTAGTATCTGGCGGTTGTCTACAGTTTTGTACTTTATTAATGATTGGCTTTAAGAACTAATCGAAGGGTTGTTGCTGAGCACGAGAGAATGTCCTTTCGAACCAATTCACTTCGAAGGCTTTTAATAGTTGGAAAAATATTATCCTCATATATTTTGTATATTGTTCTGGTTATAGGTTTAATTAAGTGCCGTTCTATTTGTCTGAATTTGCCACAATCCTTTCTCCTCTGTCTAGATGTTTCTCCTATAATCTTGAAGCAGGTTACTTTGGGCACTCTGGTTAACAAACAGGTTTCTGCAATTGTCTCTGATTTAGAGAATTCAGAACACAGTCCTTCATAAACATGTTTCAGCAAGGCATCATCAGAGATGTATTGAAAATGTCTCTTACGTTTTACTACACAGCTTTGTAAATCTTCCAATTTATTAGAGGTATCTACGCTAGTGCAAAACACTGGACGGAGCGAAACGGGATTTGTCCTCATAAACTCTTTTATGGTTTCGGTCGCTCAGGCAAATATTGTTACATCATATCCGAATATTCGGATGCATAAGTCTGCCGATAAAAGATAACGCATTATGATTTGTCATACTAGCGATAGCCGATGTTTTGTTTGGCTCTTGGTCCACGAGGATTGATCAACAGTTTGATGAAAACTTAAACTGTCATATTTTCAAATATAATACCAGGTACACCTGAATGTAATTATCGATGACAAATATAAATTTTTATATTATTATTCATCTCAGTCATTGATAATTTTGCAGTTAATAACTACTCCTGTTAGAGTATTTTTATTTTAACTTTCATTACCTGCTTTTATTACAGGTGCATATATTTATACACAATCTCACCGAAATACGAGGTGACTATGTTAAATTCTTATTTGAATACAGTCAACATCACTATTGCAGGTCGTTTAATAAAACACATTTATAGTTAGGTCATATCTATTTAGATAGAAATCAGTCTTCTTGATCAGTTTTAAACAAAAATGTCAATCAGTTATCACACAAACAATCACATATTACATGCACTATCCACAATATAAAGACTTTACATAACTTTCGCATGTTAAAAACATATTAAAATTAAGTACCAATGGCGAGAAAACACAAATTCTGACTAAATATTTTTTGTTTGCAATAAAATCAATACGTTTAATACTAAACATAAAAAAAGTTTACGCCACTGGCTTTACAACAGTAAAATAAACAATATTAGTTTTAACGTCAAACTAAAGATAAAACATTTGTAATATACACTTAATACTGTACCTACAGGATGCTTTTAGGGTTGCAAATTCAAAAGTAGTAAACCTAATATGTTTTTGAGTCTGAGTAGAACTTGAATTTCAATATAAGTTTAAAAACAGCTCCTTTGAAAGAGTATGCAATAACAAAATACACATGCTGAATCTCCCATCTATCTATCAAAAATTAAATAATATTTTCTAATAAGACAAATTGTGACATTGTATTCGTCAATGTAACAGATGATCTTTAACAGTTCATCGACAAGTCCATACAGTGACATTACAAAAGAAAACAAGGATATTTTCCTTATTAAAAATCGTTTAAAAAATAGGTTATTAATGATATTAAAAGATTAATCTATAACCAGAATTCATTGCCGAAGAGTTAGTTAAAATTCAGCTATAGATCATTTAACACCCTATCGCATTATAACTGAATTAATTTGAAGCGATCACAAGAAAGAAATTTCAAAAAAGTGTTTCTTCAACTTCATCTTGAAGTGTCATTAATCTTACAGAGAACACTTAGTAAAGAAATCGTATAAATTGTAGATATAATGACATGCTAAGTCTATCTGAATTGACACACAGTCACAGTAATTGACGTTTGCTGTAAATATTGGACATATCGCTAAATTTATTCTAAAATTGTATTCGTCATGTTTATAATGACTCTCAAAGATTCTTATACAAAAAAAAATTGACTACCGGTTCATTAACAAAAACAAACGATCAACAACACCAAAATACTACGTTGAAGAGAAACGAGCTTGCATAAAGTAGAACGTAGGAAGAGATTTTAAGAGGAACTAAGAAAATGAGTAAAAAACTCTTGGTATTTTTTAACCACCTAATGTACTGTGCAACAATTTTAATTCTAAAACACCCTATAGGTACAAATACTTTCCACACCATATAAAAATATCAAATACACTCATCATTTCCAAACGTTCGTTTTAAAACACAAAATCCTGTCATTGACTTTTCGGGCACCCTATAGCTAATCTGTAATTAAAATACTGCATTTTTAAACAATATAGGCTGGAATTAAATCTTTCAATTATCGATAACCAAGTACTGGTTTTGATATATTACGTCTGTCATGTGTCATTTCTCACGTCTGTAAAGTAGGCAACACGTTATACATATATAACTTTTTTAGAGAATTTTAAAATTAATATGTTGTATTTAAACGTTAAAACATTTAATTAATACATAATTTCTTGCAGAAATATGGTGAATAAAGAGAGGAGACTCAAACAAACTTTAAATAGTGGTAGCGAATTGAATACCGGCATGTAAAAGAGAAAAAATAAAAGTAAACGAAGAAAAAATTAAGAAAAATAGAAAATTGTAAAAGAAGACCCAGAAAAAACGATCTATGAGCATGTACAGCTTGGGCTTGAATATTCGAGCATAATGTATATGTATATTTGAAAAAAAAATACATTGAGACGGAAGAGGCACTCGAAACCTTTAGAAGTTGGCAGTTCAATTCATATAGCAATGTCTCTAATGCGACAACACATTAAGTCTACTCGTGAAATACAGTGTCTCACTGTTCATAATTTTTATGTCGTTTAGTGACGAAAGAATTGCAAATAAGGGACAAGCGCCGTTTTTTAATATTTCAAATATGATTATATAGAAAGGAATCCGCTCTTATATCACTTTTAGTTAGATTTTCGTGATATTCATCGGTGGAGTTTCAAAATGGCGGCATTACAAAGTGCATAGGTAATAAGAGTGTAAAAATATAAACTATTCAGAATAATCTGTTAGTGATCAGCTTTTATGGAAAATGCTCGAACATGTAAATTTATTTTTCCAGTTTCCCATTCATTCAGTGATACATCATTGAAAGCTCGCGTATCACAGTATATTACTATAAACAAGAACGACTTTCACCTTTCACTGGGAGTAACTTTTAGATAATTTTTACAATTCAACATAGCAACAATATGGAGTGACAGAAGCACAAAATCTACTGATTGCCATTTAAAAACAATGTCGATGACGTCATAATTTTGACAGACGTCAATAAACGAATTAATTCTGTTAAAATATAGAAAACTAGAAAAATGCAATGAGTTTTTCCAGCGCTTGCATCTAAACGGGAGAATATCAAATTATTAGTGGTAATCATTTTTTTTTTTTTCCTAATGACGTTCCTCATTTTGAAACTCCACCAAAATTTATGAACGTACTGAGTGACATAAAATCTTTGAAATTATGTATTTATTACTTGCAATTTGGCCCAATATGTTTACAGAATGGCATCAGTTTTTACAAAAAACATAAAAATTTTCAAAAAATATTTGGGAAGTGTGAGACTCTAGAAGTCTGTGTATATTGCTCCTTTTTCATTAAATCCAAACCATTTCAAGCAAGCTACAAGCTACGACCCTCAGTCTGACGACCCTTGACTCAAGATGGCTTAGGAAATTTTGACTTAATGATTAATGACACCGCCAAGTATCTCCTCACTAAGTAGAGATTTCTTGATCCAAAACCAATCTTAATTCACGAGCATCATTTTAGTTAAATTGTTGCCAGTTCTCAATTTTAAAATCCTCAATTTTTTTCACAGTTCAAGTAGTAAGATAACTAGATCGGAATACCTACAGATAACTATCTTACTAAACAATCCCGAATTATTCTATAATTAAAAAATGTTTTATTCTATACAATTTGACCATATAACAACTTTAATATCAATTACATTAAAAATAATGTAAACTTTTCGTCTATTACTCTCTATTTTCATTACAAACATCTGTTAAAGTATACTCTTTAACGTAAACGTCCAGAAGATTTCTAGAGAACAGGAACAGAAACCAGAAACGCTAAATGAAAATCATCTAAACACAAGATCGCAAAATTCATAAAACTTGATATTTGTTTTTAATTTCAGTTCTACTGCTTGGTTATAATTTAAATCTCTTAAAAGTAATCAAAATGAAATTAATTTTCTTTTAGTGTGAAGGACAAAATTGGAGAATACCAGACATGTTTTATGGCAGGTAGATGCATTCATAAACAACAGTGGCATAATGGAACAACTGCTAGAAAAAAAAAAAAAAAGAAAAAAGGTTAAGTATTTGGAATTAAGGAAAGCTTACGTATTCAGTATCGAGATCAGAACTCAGGAAAGCAAGGCGCAATAAAGAATTGACAAAAGTCACATAAATCCCTACAAAGAAAACGAAGTGTTCATTAAAATGAGAAAGATAATCATAAGGTTGGTCATAAATCAACCAAAGGGTCTTTTACAAAAAATTTTTACATCTCTATTATTGAAAATAACATGGAAAACACTAAGACATTGAAGAAACAATGTCAATGAACGAATACATATTAAGCTTTGCACATGATCAAATAGTGATCGCAAAAAGATACACAAACAAGTAATGCTATATATAAATAAAGACAGAATGTCTAAAATTAAAATAAAATAGGAGGGTAGAAAAGGAAGTATGAAGCACTTTGTTTGAGAGAAAAATGATAAAGAAGTTACAGTGGGCGTTAAAGGCGCGAATAGCAATATTTTACAGATGTTCATAGTCACTATAATAAAGTGTTACAGGCCAAACCGAACAATATGTCAAATCATATTTAGATCTTTTGGTAAATATCAAAAGTAGTCTGAGCAGTCTCTAAAACGACAATCAAGTTGTAAAAAACAAAAATAAATCCGGTAAAATATACTCAACAATGATTAAAAATATAAACAAGTACAGGCAAATTAAAACGCCGAATAAAAAGAATCTGCCAGCAGTTAAAACATATGTTTGTATGTACAATTTAAAATAAAGATGTCTGTGCTTCGAGCACCAAAATTGTCATAATCATAGGCCACATTGTTGTTGACCAAAAATGACCCTTCCAAAAATTCAATCAATATTATTTATATATTAATGTCTTATGTTAATAAAAATGTAACGTTCTTAACAATTAATAAAACTGTAGATAAATATGTTGTACATGTACGTATATTAATGAGGTTAAGTTAAGTTATGGTCGATCAACGTATTGCAATGTTTTTTGGAAATGAACTACAGTTGACCCTCATTATAGTGGATTGCTGTTTAGTAGGTTAGTAAGTTAAGTAAGGTATTTCTATTAGAATGGGATTATTACCTCAAATATATATAATTATTACCTTGTTATAATAAGTGTTTGGGGTAATAATCTCATTCTAATATAAATACATTTATAAGGACCCTTGCATAAATTTTTTAAAATAAATTGGTATCTACTGTACTTAATAGTGGCAGTTGGGTGGTTAGACGCTCCCACTACTTTAATCGCTGTGTATCCGTAGCTCAGAAAAATAGTGAACTATAAAAATAAAAATCTTAATTTTCACGATATATATGTGCCAATGCAGACGGTATTACCAATCTTCCAGTTTATTATTATAATTCTTGTAACGCATAGTTTAAAACTGATTTTTTGTTACCACAAAGATTGGTTTCATACAGGGGGCGATAAGAAATAAATTCCAGAAGATAAAGTAAAGGCTTTGGTTCTTTTACGTAATGCACCAACACGTTCTGATGAAGACATATCTTAAAGATAAGAAAATTAAATATATGGTCTTGCCACCTAATAAAATATCTATGTTTAAGTTTATAGATCAAGGTATGATATGCACTGCAAAGCAGCTTTATAAAATGAAATTTCTGATAAAATCCTAGAATATAAAGAACCATCTGTTGATTGAGATAGCAGAAAGGGATCAAAGGCACTATTTTTCCTAATATTAAGAAAAATCGAAAAAATATTTGAATCACAATTTTCAACTTTGTTTAAACATTCATCAAATAAATCAAACTTGGGTACGAACATGGAAAAATTGTGGCACTTCAGAACAGAAAATTACCATGATATTGGTAATTTGGTAAGAGAAATTAGAAGAGGAACCCGTTTCACTGAACGATATGGAGTTGTGTATTGAAGCAGTGAATTCGAAATACATACCAGTGTAATTGATGAAGCCTAATGTTTGGAGGATGAAAAAGAAGAGAAAGAAAACACTGCTCAACCAAAAATTGTGTTGAGCAAAGTAAAATACCATTTAAATGTTGTTATTCAATATGTGTTACACTAGGAACACTTTCGGTGAAAAATAACACAGCAAACAAAACCACGTACTTACTTCACTAAAAATTGGCAAATTACTTATTTATGAGATTTATTAGTTATATTATATCGAGGAGTCCTAAAAAGGGACAACTTTCAGCCCCACTATTCATTATAATGAGGGACTACTGTATATCTAAAATTAAATATATTTCACGCATACGTTAGTGAGGTTATGTAAGGTTATATTCATAAAAAATTGCCTGTCGGTAAAAATGTTACAAATAAAGTTAGAATGTGTGGTTTTTTTAACAGGCAATGTAGTGAGGTTATGTTAGGATATAGTAAATCAACGTATTTTATATCAACTTATATGTCAGTGTTTTTTTATTTCATAAATACACTAAATTCAGTTAAACTTTTGGAAATACTCAACCATTTTAAAACACACTCGAAAATGTGTCTTGTAAGTTTAAAACACTTATGACTAGAATTCTTTTGTTAATTTGAAAGATATTATTTAAATGAAATCTTTGCGAGAGTGGGGGAGAGGCGGAGAGGGAGAGAGAGGGCAACTGGAAGAAGATTTACCCATAGATCTACAGGATCTTCTACCGCCACAAAGTGCTAGTTTCCGTAGATATTAAATAATTCCTAAGATTTTTCATGCTCGCTAATTAAATATTTGTAAACAAATGGCGAATAGCAGATGAGTAATTTGAATTCAGAGTCAAACAATGAATGATTGCCAAGTTAGAGTGAGAAAGAGAGAGATAGGAGAAGGAGGGGCGTAATAGTGTGAGGAGAGTACAGGAGTTAGTTTTAATTTGTACTCGGAAGAGAACGGCTGTGTCATGTATTATTTAGTAAGGCAAATTCTTTTAGTTTGCAATTATTTAAGTGAACTACGGAAAGAAGGTGGACAAGAAAGTATGACCCGCTTTAGGCATACAAAGCACCATTTCGAGGAGCTTTTCAAAAGACTAAGATTGTTGTAAAAGTAAAGGACACCAGTAACAACTCGTGGAAAGTGTTTTTTTAAACAATGTTTTGGAATTCGACATTTCTTAAACATCAGTGATAACTTCTGAAGTGATTTTGAACTTAGAAATACACAATTCTAGCCCACAACATTTATAAATGTACCAAAATGTATACTGCTGCATTATTTATATAAAAACTACTATATCATTTCAATTACCATTACCTCAAATTCCTCTTTTATGATTTTAATGTATATCGTATATATTCAAAACATGTCTACTTCTAGAAAAGCTGTCAATACCTTTGAATTCTTGGAAAAGTCAGTATGGCAACATTAAAAACACTACATTATGTACCTAAAATGAACTGTCATTAAGGTCCTAGAGCGTGTTCCATCATTTGTATGCACAACGACTCCAAACTGTTTTCTATATCTTTGCTATCGGGTTTTTTGTGTTTCGTTAGGTTGAATGGTTTAGGACTAGATTCCGACGCGTTTGCGCCACTGTTCGAAGTATTTACGTAACTCTGGAGATTCTGATTGAATAGCCTTTGGCTGTTCTGAGCTGAAAACAATTGATTTTGAAGTGTTACGCTACCTATTGAATGCCTGTGAGTGTTCCATGACGGGCTATTCTGCATGTTGGGGAATGATGAACTCTTTTTGGTATAGCTGGTGGGTTGGATGGTGCAGCATATTTTCTGAAGCTTCTGGGGGTCCATGCGGTGTGATCTATAAATAATTTTACTTTTAATACAACTTTAAGAGAAAAAACTTTAAAACAATAGGTTTGTTTGCAAGACGTAAAACAGTACTTTCGTTTGAGACTGAGCTTCCAGTCAACGCATGACAGAGTGGGAGGGGAAACTCCCATCCCCGGCACAGCATATTCAAATGGCTAATAGGGAAAGCCCTATAAGGAAATAATACCATAGGACAGGTGTGAATAAGGTATAACCAAATAAACATCCGCTGGTCAACTGAGAACATGACACAGGAGCTGCAGCTATGTCATTAACCATAGATTTGTTGATTGAACGTGACAAACACATACAAAAGCGCATACACACATAATATTCGTGCCCATGTATACCATGTACGATCGAAAAATTCCCAAGCATCAGCACCACAACTAACTCATTATATGGTGAAAATTGTACTGCGATTACTTCGCTCCCCAAACCCCTTAACACTGTGAATGATTATACCCTTTGCAGAGAATGGGCGCACTATCAGGCACGGCAGTCCCAAGCTCATGGATATAACATTGACATGTAATAAAAAGAGATCGCCCACACGAGAACTCAGAAAGGAGGGACTTTTTTAAATCCATAAATAAAAATGCATAGGGAATGAGCAAGTAGATGACCACGGTCGCGGACTGCCTATATGTCAGGATCTTACTGCCGAACTTTCAGAACAGCAGTACGAGTGTAAAACTGACGTGACGGCTTCCAGAAAAAAATTTTCCTGTTTCTTCTTACTGTTTAGTATCTACTGTTTTATATGGAGTATGAATTAATGTATATTCATACTCAGAAATATAGCATAGTCTGCTTCCTAGATTATAACAAGGCATTCGATACAGTGAAACATAATTCATTCGTTAATGAAAGCACTGAGAACAAAGAACATCGACCCACGGAATATAAGAATAATAAATAATTTGTATTATGAACAGGAAGCTGTCATAAGAATAAATAATTTAAAAACTAATAAAATAAAAATCAAAAAAGGTGTTAGACAGGGCTGTGTCTTGTCGCCATCACTGGTTAATGTAAACTCAGAGGAAATATTGAAAAAAGCATTAAAAGATGAAGTAGTAGGCATAAAAATAAATGGCATACCCATACGTAAAATAAGATATGCATATGATACAATACTAATGCAGAAAATATTACAGATCTGCAAAGAATTTTAGATAAGCTTGTTGCAGCGAGTGAAGAATTTGGTCTGTCACTAAACATAAAGAAAACAAAATTCATGGTTATACCAAAGACAAATATCAGATACATTAATCTACAAGTAAATAATAAGACGATAGAACGAGTTCAGAATTATAACTATTTAGGGGCAAACATAAATGAAACAAACGAGTATACCAAAGAAATTAGAGTTAGAATAGAAAAGGCTAGAAGTGCATTCAATAATATGAAACAAATATTATGTTGTAGAGAACTCAGCATAAATCTTAGAAAACGAGTACTTAAGTGTTATGTATTTTCTGTTCTTATAAAAAAGTGTGGAGACACGGACTTTAAATAAACAATGTCTCAATAAATTGGAAGCATTTGAAATGGGGACATATCGAAGAATGCTGAGAATCTCCTGGACAGACAGGACCAATGAAGAAGTACTAAGAAGAATAGAGAACAGCAGGGAGATACTGGATTCCATCAAAATAAGAAAACTTATCTGCGTCATATAGCACGTGGTGACATATGAATTCCTAAAACTAATAATGCAGTTGAAGTTTCAAGGAAAGTGCAGAATAGGTAGAAAAAGCTGCTCCTCAACTGAACTCTTTCGGGCTTTAGTGGTAAAAGTTAGAATAGCAGTGATGATTGCCAACCTTCGTCGCGGAGATGGCACGTAAAGAAGAAGATGCAATGTTTTTAAACTTACCTATGATTGTTAGTATGCTTTTTCGGTTTACCATTGTGAACAGGAACGACAAGGTCATCTTTTGTCAACTGGCATTTCCACATATTTAATCTCTTCTTCTGTTCTTCAGTAAAAGCTTCTAAAGTTTCGGCTTTTTCACACAACGAATGGAACGACATCAAGTAATCGTCGGGTAGTTGTCTTAACATTAACATTTGCGTACAAACTAGAACAAGGAAGTGGTATAATATACAGAACTTACTTATTTTTTAAGTTTTCATAAAACGTAATCTTTTTATCTTAATATTTACGTTAAAAGTTTTACGATTTAGAATTTCAAACGAGAAAACATACTTAAAGTTTATTGACACAACCAATATAATTGCATATTTCTGAAACCAGATAAAGCAGCGATTGGCAGATATTTTAACTACGCAGATAATAAATAAATCTCTGTATGTGTATTTCCAACCTTTCTTATTTGAGAAAGAATTTTTTTCTAGGTTACTTTTCGTCTGATCAACGAGGAGACCGGTCAGCTGTCCGCTGGTCGTTACTGACTTTTCACCGCATGGGAGATTGTTTTGTTAGAGTGTTTGAAAACAACTATAATCTTTGGGCAGTAGTGTTAGTAACACTATCCAGTTAATAAAATAGTACAAAGTAAATCAAAATTAAAAATTAATTTAATGAAGAATGCCCCCGTTTTGTTGTAATATTAATTAACACCTTTTTTTTACATATCTTACACAATTAGGTATAAGCACTGGCTATATGTTTCTAAATACTTAATGAATGCTTTGTAATATGCCTTCCTTAGAGTTACAGTTAGTTTTTTATTGTTTTTTAAAAAATCTCCAGATAAAAAATCAGAAGGATTTAGTTCCGTCTAGATACATTCTTTCTCAATCAAATTTTGATTCATAGATTCATTTCTAAGGTATCTATATATCCGGCAACAGTTTATTATCAAATACATGATAAACCAATTTATGCATGACAAAACAACTAACGTTAAAACCGAATTTTCCTTGCCTCCTGATCGCTTTAAGTAAGCGGGGATTTATAGTGTATCGTTTAATTAAATTTACCCCCTCTGTGGCTCAGTGGGTAAGAGCGCCTGCCTTACTTAAACCTAAAGGTCGTGAGTATCGCATCCCCACCTGGGTGGAAATCTTTCGTATATTAAAAAAATTAAATAAAATGCAAAAATAATTTCTATCCTTTGTGTGATCGGTACACACCGGAGGGGACCGGGCATGACGTTCGAGATTAACAATTAGCGTTCTCTTAGCCAAAGACAATGACGTCGACTTTGCTAAGTATCAAGACAATTAACCTACCACACACCACACACACACTAAAAACACCTACAAATTGTAAGATTGGCGAAAGGATTTAGTGTCCGCAGTCCATTTAAACACAAACAAACAACAAACAAATTAAATGTCTCTACGAGGTTCAGTATACTTCATCACGGTGTCAAAACTTGGTCTTAAAGCATATAATCAATACAAAGAATGAACTCTTTTGAAACGGACGAACTCTGTACATGGATTGACATAGTTACTAATTAATGAGGAGGTGCTAAAAAAATGAAATAAAAAAAAAGTAAAAATCTCAAAGAAAGAATACCTACTGCAAAACCTAGGACACATAAGGCATGGTGAAAAATACAGCATTCTAAGACATTCTTTTATCAGTCAAGAAAAAATAGTGGGCAAAATAAGTATCGGGAGAAGACGTATATCCTGAAGAAATTTGAGGGAGTAGAACTGGTTCTAAAGTTAGAATAGCCATGACAATAACCAACCTTCCAGCGAAGAGATGGTATCTGAAAAAGAAGAATTTGTGGCGATCTTGCGCGGAAAACCGTACTTTTTAAATCAAATGACATTGATCTGAAGATTTCGAACTGCCGAAATCATATGATTTTGCAAGTGCTAGAGGTATTTTTGGAAACACAAATTACCTTGAAGTTCACTCCAATCTAACCGTTCAGTTTTCTATGAAACTCGCGCTAGCGTCCGCACAATAAAACCCAAATATTTATTATATCGAGATAAAGAGATTAGAATAGATGAACCGTGTTTTTTTGTGAATTGGGAAGAAAAATTCATCCGTTAATAAAATATTTTTCATTTGATTAATTGTTATTAACATTTTTCTGTAATTTTTAGCGGAAAATATGTGGTAAATCCAAGAAAGTCCTATATATCAAAAACAATGTTTTCATCCTTTCAGGCTCAATTTATTTTTATCAGCGAAAAACACCTAGTCTTAATTTGTAACAAAATTATAGGTCATAGTGACCTCGAGAAATAACACTTTACAGCTAAATTTTAGATAATTGTTCACTTTACATAAGACCTTTCATGTCCATTTCAATAAACACTAGGTTTAAATAAATCAAAAGTTCCGAGAAAAAAGTATTAATTTACAATATTATTTGTGGTAGAATTGTGGCAATTGCGGCCTTTGACAAAACATAAATTAATATAACATTTAATGACGAGCACATGATTTTTTCCCTTACAGCCAGTGCTTCGTCCGCGACCGGAAACAACACCGACCCGAGCAAAACTGAAGTACTGCGGAAAACAGCAGGAATCAACTCAGGAATCGCAACAGGCTTCCTTGCGAAACATACTACAGCCAAGGGACACTTGCATACTATGAGAATGCTTCATAGAGACAGACTTCCTGAAACAGTCAACCGTATCTTGCATCACTGCGAGGCATTAGATCGCAGGCGGCAAACACTTTTTGGGGACTAAAAATTGACTCACAAAAACATATGGTACCTATCCACTACACCTGTACAAGTTGGTATCATGAAGAAATGGAAGATGTACAAAGAGGCCTACTGGCCGCAGTACGACCGATTTACAACATACAGCTTCAAATTATAAGCAAACCAATAAGGAACAAGACTACAATTTGTCCCAAACCCTTTTTTCAGTGCGTCACTAATTTTGACGTCATATAGGATTTTAAGAATGTCGAGAATTATTGCATGACATTAGTTGCAGGATCGTAATCGGCTAAACGTGAAAAGGTTATTTTTTTTTAATGCATAGCAGTTTGTCATAATTCTATTCTATTCTGTTCTATTTTATACATTCCATGGAAAGTGCTTAATTAGCTAAGATTTGTTTATGGATTTATTATTATTTATTACAAACACTAGGGAATTGGAAGGTTTGTTTATTTAAAATAACGCTTCCTCCTAGAATCTTAGAGTTGACTGCAAGGTAAAAAAATTTACTGACAATTGCAAGGCATCAAAGTAAACATTCCTGTGATAAAATAATACCGATTTAAGTCAGTCATACTTGGATAAGTAATTTTCTGATAAGTTTGTGTGGCAGCCAATAGTTTAATTTTGTGAAGAGTTGTCATTAAATAGTGGAAATAGTTTAAATAGTGAAGCAGTTGATTTTTGAGTTATTCTACCAGATTTGGTGTGCAAATGAAAGAAGGTTATAAAGTTTAGTTAAAAAAACAATATAAATAGTTTAAATAGTGAAGCAGTTGATTTTTGAGTTAATCTACCAGTTCCGATATCCAGATGAAATCGTGTTAATGGAGTTTAGTTAAAAAACAAGATACCGAATGTAAGTTTACCTTCTTTTTTATGAATAACAAAAATGAATATTATATTTCAAACAATCTATAATCCCATTCAGAATCTGATTCTTGAAAACCAATGATTACACTAGATATGTGGCTGGTATCAATTATATCCTACATTTCAAGAAAATGTCGTGGTTCTAAAAAGAACCGTTTTAATACATATAAATATCCATAAAGTTATTATTTTAAGATATTTATTCAATATCATTCCGGAATTCACAATCTTATTCGCGAATGACAGAAACTGATAATAAAGATGTCTCAGCCTCTTTTTCTAATTGAAACTAATTTAATAATTTTAATATTAGTCTTTTTTCATTCTCGGTATATCTCGGAATATTTAAAATATTTTTATGACAATAAATACAAAATTTAATTTTCACTGTAGTTAAAATGTCTGAAAATACTAACCTGGAATGGCAATTATCATTTTATCAATTGACATTGTGAAAATACTGTCACTGTCATTATCAAGATCATCTGTGTCAAATTATATTTATATGCATAATTGATTGGATATCTATTTAGCGTATTCTAAACTAAAACCAATTATACGTTCGTAAGTAGAATACGCTTTAATATGCGAATACCCGTGAACGATACCTAATTTTCTAAGTTCTATGTATAATAATCAACGACTCACGTTTTTTTCTGTCACTTCTAGCTTAATGCGTTAGAGAGAATTCTAACAACTATGACGCACTGAAAGAAGGGTTTGGGACGGACTGTACGGTAGTACCAAGAAGGCACAAGTCGGATCAGGACTGGAACCGGGTCATATTTAGCGACGAATCTTACTTCTCTTGGTGGGTTAACGATGGACGAAGATAGGTTAGCCGAAGACGTGTATAAAGACAAAAGTATCTTTTGCGTAGAATGTCATAATATGGGAAAGTAGGTCCCCGCTAGCATTTCTTTAAAGAAACATGAACGTCCATACATTCATAATGTTTTTTAACCCATTACAGTGCCCTATTCGTAACTCTGTTATGTTTGTCCGTCGAGCAACCATCAACGTTCTTTCATGGCCAGCTAGATCACCTGGCCTTTCTCCCATTGAACATCTATGTGATATGATAGGCAGAAGGTAGGGCCGATTGTCTGCTCCGCCGATGGATTTGCAACACCTTCGGAACTAGATTAAGAATGCTTGGATCCGCAGGAAGATAACGATCATCTTATTGAAAGCATGCACCGCAAAAAAGAGAAGTGCATTTCCTTAAGAGAAGTATATAATTGTTAGCCCAATATAGAGAAATTAGTCCCAAAGCATCAGCAATATTTATTTCAAGATTTTACAAATCAAGTTGTCCTTCTTGCGACATATACACATGAAGTACCATCTTTCGTTTGTCTAGGTGTACTTCATGGTAATTGAGTTAGAAATATTAATGGGTTAGTCAAATTTACCAGGTGTAACCTTCATACCTAGGCGTACATTAAGAAAGCTTATTTTAAAATGTTTTAATAATTCGTTTTAAACATAATTTATAAAATGATAAAAAATTCTTACCTTTGCCCATCACCTTAATAAACAAAGTAGGTAAATCTTCCCCACCGGATATTTGCAATGGACTTTGGACAACACTCTTCAACTTTTTGAGAGCCACATTCAAATCGCCTCCATTCATCACTTCGGTTTCTAATTCCATCAGCATCACGCCTCGTTCCTTTAACTTGTTCACGCTTAATAATATCTTGTGTCTAGCGCCTTTCGTTATACCTATGCTCTGAAGTGTTTCTTCTTTTAGATTAACCATTTGACTGTAGGTTAAATTATTAAAGACCCAACTGTATTTGTGTAACCTTAAGGATTTTAACCAGGAAGTGATGCTTTTCATCGCCGGGAGATTGTTTTGTAGTTTTAAATCTTGTAACCTACAACAGAAATAAACGTGGCAAAATTATCTTCTTTTACTCGTGTATGTGTGTATGTATATGGAGTGTGCCTCTCAATTGGCTTACAGCATATTAGAAGACTCTTGAAAACACTTAGGACGGATGAAAACGCCAACATTAGTGGTTGAAAAATATACGAGATTGCACTGGTATGGTCTCATACATGAAAACATTCACTGTTTGGAGCTGCACAAGATAGATATTATTTCACTGAGATTGCTGCTAAACTTCAATGAAGATGGTAGCGTAAGAAGAATATCTAACCAGCGTTCCGTGGATTACGTATTAAAGAATATATAATGTAGGTAAAAGTTTATGGTCGGTATGGCAAAATTTAACAGGATATCTAACGCAGTTATAAAATCATATTTTCAGCTAATAGACAAAGATAACAATCATATTTCCCCTTGGTCTCCCCTCCATAAATATTTTAACACTCATTGCTCATTCGTGAGACGACAATACACGACATCACGTCGACCACTACACTCCCCCTGGGGGGTCAGGATTGAAGAGAGAGAGCTCATTCGTGAGACGAATACTTCCGATCAGAGATATTTTACATGAGATCCAGAGAACCAGATTTTAAACATGTGTTCACAAGGAAAACATTTTGTTACAATACTACAATATTTTATGAATATAGTGGTTAAGTTGGGATATACATGACGATGGTTTTTCCACCACGGTAATGGACAGTTCCACTCTCCGTTCGAAATTTTTTTGTGGGTAATATATCATCAGACAAATACATGTCGACTTCTTTTATATCTCTCGATACAGGTGTATGTTTAGATGAATCACGTCCAATTAATTCATCAAAAATACACCATGGACTCAAGTCATCTTTATCAGTTTCTTTTTCTTGTACTGGTTGATTTTCAAGATTTACTAAACTTATGCAAAGACTCGTTTCATCCGTTTTCCATAGGTGAAAAACCAGCTTTTAAAAAGTTTGCAGAGTGGATTCCTGGATATAAACTGCCAACAAGAAAAACTGTCAGGTTCATTACTTGAGGAATGTTATGTCAAAACTGATTTGATAATAGATAAAATAAAAAGTCCTATTTTCGACAATTCTGCAAAAAACACATTTAAAAAAAAGTACCTTATTTTCAAAAAGGCTTTTAAAATATTAATTACAACATAACAAAGTTCCCAAACGGCCAATCCAAGACATGGAAACTAGGTAGAAACTTCACCTACTACATGTTAAAAAAAAATGACCGAGTTAGAAGACGCAATCCGTTCCACATCGGTATTAAATAATACAGACTTAGACTTAGACCAAATCTAAATAAAGAACACTGGATTATTTGTTCTCAGCTTTCCCAAATTGTACAGCCGTTTAAAGAAATAACAAGTACAATGAGTGACCAAAAATACTTAAAGGGTAGTTCAGTGATTGTTATGGTACGCTGCCTGCAAGAATCTTGCAATAAAATTTTAGCAAACGGTAAATTTAGCAATAAGGTTTAGCAAACCTTACATCCATAGTATCCGACGTAGTACAATTACTAATATCGGGTTTAGCAAAAAGATTTAAAGGGATAGAACAGAGTGGCACATTGTCATTATGTACATTTATGGATTCTCCATTTAAATTGCAGGGTTTTTCTGATAAAAATGAAGATAAAAAAATAAAAGAAAAAGTGAAGAAGCTGGTTACTTCTATAATTAACGAACAAGAAGATTATACTATTGAAAATCAACCAGTACAAGAAAAAGAAACCAATAAAGATGACTTAAATCCATGGTGTATTTTTGATCAATTAATTGGAGATGGCTCATCTACACGTACACCTGAATCGAGAGTCCATTACAACGGTGGAAAAACCATCGCCATGGATATCCCAACTTAACCACTATATTCATAAAGTATTGTAAATGTGAACACATGTTTAAAATCTGGTTTAATTTGAAATAAAAAAAGAAGACGGTTAATAAGAAGTACAGTTGAAAAACTTATGTTTTTTAATGTCAATTTAGACTATTCGCGATTTAATAATAACGTGTAATGTAAATGTAAGTACGAGTTACTATTTGTATTGTTTAGTTTATTTTTCAAGTTATAATAAATATATCATTAGTTTCTTTCACTTCAATAAATATACACATAAACGATAATAGCCATTATGTTTGTTTATGTAAGTACTCTATTACTTAAAACTACTTTTAAACAATCATAGTTACTTGTTTACAAAAATTTAAATTTTGAAATGCATTCATTTTTTTTTTGAATCCTGAGAAAAGTAACAAATATTTTTGAAAAATTTAAATGCAGAATAAAAGATTACATTATTACCGAGGGCCTAAAGTCTCTTAGAATAAACAAAAAGTTTTTTGAATGAGATATTTGAAATTAAAAATCACACTAATTTTTTTTTCACCCCTATAACTTATTAAACTAAACATTATAGAAGTTTTCAGGGACTTTCGGCCCTCGGTAATAATGTATTGTTTCATTCTGCGTTTAAATTTTTCAAAAATATTTATTAGTTTTCTCAGGATTCGCAAAAAATTAATGCGTTTAAAAAATATTGGCCCGAAATTTTGTGCCTACGCTCTTAACGATAAAACTACCACGACCCACCTCTACTCGTTACTCGGTCGGCCAAACCAGACCAGACCAGACGGACGTTGCCAAATTATTGTGTATGAATATTTTTTAATGTGGCGTTATTGTAAGCAGTTTATTATTTCATATTGGGAATAAGGCACCATGTGACTTTAAAATAAGCTTATTTTGATGTTTAGATTTTTAATTCGGAAATCCTACTTAAAATAAGAAACATTAATAAATTTTATCTATATAAAACGATTTCCTAAGTGGAAATCAAAATGTTATACTTATTGTAAAGTAAATTTTTGGTATATTCCCAATAAAAAAAAAACAGTAAGCTGCCATTTAAATCAATTTCGCCCAAATTGGATTATCTTGGAACATTGTGCAAATGCAAAAAAAACAACAGGTCAAATAAATTCAATAAGTTTGGCAACGTTGAACTTCCCCTTTTTTATTATTTCCACGCATGCATGTTTGGCGATGTAAAGGGCGGACCTAATATACCTCTCTCTTTCTAAACTGCTGTTTCTCACTCCATCTCACGTAAGGTCTATACCGACCATAAACTTTTTCCTACACTGTATGTAAAATGTGCCAACATGTAAGTAAATAGCTGAATCTTGTAATTGTATTATTTGGTGAATCAACCTGTATAAATGAATACGTCATGGTGACATAAATGAAAACCTACACGATAGGTAACATACGGTGACAAAAGATTAGTAGCGGACAGTTTAAGATAATATTTAACAAAATCATAACACACGTTAGTGATGAAATTTCAACCTAAAATGCACAGTTTCTATTTAAAATACTAGATAAACACCAGAATAAAATAACTTTTGCTCTAGAGGAGGATGTACCAAGGATCAAGAAAAGCTCAAACGTTCCGTCACGAGTACCAACAATTTCTCTGTTATGTTTTATTTAAAGACAGGCGGACATTTAAACATCAATAGAAAATAATTCAAGACAACCACAAGACAATGCAGAAGTCAGAATAAAAACCTATTAACAACAAGGAAAGATTTATTGAATAAATGGGTGGAATACTTTAATCAGGCACTTAATATAGAGGAAGAAGAAGAAAACCTGGAAGACGAAAGAGATGAGGTAAAGGGTATTCCCAGAAACCTGATATCGTAAAACATATTAAGATAGGATCTGAGGTGGATAGAGCATATAATGCGGATGGAACAAAATGACCCAGCTAGAAAAACGCTCCTTGATAGACCCATTGGTCAGAGAAGAAGTGGAAGACAAAGAACAAGGTTCCTCGATAACATCGATGAAGACATGAGGAATATGGGAATACGTGCTTGACGGAAAAATGCGATGAATAGGGACGACTGGAGAGAAATTCTTGAGGAGGTACGTCTCACGCCGGGTTGTAAAGCCAGAATGATGATAATGTTTTATTTAAAGACAAATATGACTCGAATGTTCACTGTTTGAGATAACACCCATCAAAATTATGTTCAACTGTTCACCACGACGTAACAAAAATTTCCTTACCTTGTTTCTGAATGACTAGATTGTAAGTTACATAATCCCGCCAACAAAGACTTCTCGCTCGATAAAGAATAACTTCTGGGTTTACATGGTGGCTCGTTAAGGTTTTCTTGCGAATACCAATTGTCTTGATTGTGGCTTGGATTATCTGGACCTGGAGTAAGACTATTTGATCGCCTCTGTTTAAAGTTCTGCTGTGAATCGGGGTTGGGGCTTACAGATTCGTCGCTGGATTCAGTTGCCGATGAGTGAGCGAATGTCTGGGGCTTCAGTTTCGATACGACCTAGAAAAAATATCAATAAAGAATGTTTTTATAATTATAGACAGATGAATATACTTAAATATAAGTATATTAACAAAGTGTGAAACTGTAAGCGAAAGAGAACTACAAACGTTAAAGTCGGATAACGTCAGACGCTTCTACGTAGTTTTGGTAGTAACAAACATTAAGAAAGATGAAATACAAGCTATTAACTTTTGAAAATTAAATGTAAATGAAGACACTCTCCAACTCCTGCGAAGGAGATCAATATAAAATGTATATGGGAAATGTTATAATCGATTCACAGAGCTCGGAAAAATTTTGACAATTCTTCGGAAATATAAAAATTCCTGCATTCATTATTATTAGCGCCAATTAACTTACTGTACTTACTGTAGTGGACTTTTTCCGAAAATTTCTTTTCAATCTTATTTAAAAATTTCTTTAATATTTACAAATAAAAAATTTCTTTTCATTTGTAAATACTAATCTATAAACGACTCTAAATGTTCTAAAATAAATATTTCAACCCTTGTTTTAGTCGATGTAGCTTTATTTTGTTGATAAACTGCATGTGAATATTTTTTTATTGTTAAGTTAATATTGGGTATGTGAGCATGTGTGCTTGGTTGTACAGAAATGTTCAGCCACTTCCAGTCGAATTTAAAATTTAACCAATATACCTAACGCAAAATTAATTAGCCCTAACCCACCGTTCAGAATTCAATTTTTTTTTTCATTTTTTTACGTTCTATGTGATTAAAAAATAAGACTCGGCACAATTTTAACTCATCGCGATTTTTTATAGGTTATCTACGATTTGAAGTAACTGAGTCCTTTAAGACATTCAAAAATTGGGCGAAACACGTTTAACTCCCAAAAAATACCAAAAAAAAATTGTTTAAGGTTTTTAAGGGTTTTTGCGGTGTTAATCATATTTTTTGAGATCGATACAACCTGAATCAATTTTCTTATTTTTTTTACGTTTTATGTGATAGTGTGGACCTATTTCCCTAAGGACAAAACTTGTTCCCCAAGGAAAAAAGCAGCAACCTATGACTGATGCTCGAAACAAAGGCATCAGAACGACGTGTAAGGCCAAACACACATACATCTTCGCACAGGGGTTGGTAAAGAAACAAAACTAATCACCACTATGTAAACAAGAAAATTAGAATACCTAGGCCACATGATGAGAAGACGAAAATATGAAATTTTGAGACTCATAATACAGGTAAAGATTCAAGGAAGAAGATCTGTTGGCCGAAGGCAGAATTCTTGATTGAAGAATCTACGTAATTGCAGATCGATTAATTTGTTTAGAGCAGCAAGTTCAAAAATAAAAATGGCCATTATGATGGCCAACCTCCCTAGGGAGACGGCACTCTAAGAATAAGAAGACAGAATAATACAGAGTTGCGAGACTTTCTATAACTTATTAAATAAGATGCGCACGCAATTAAACTAAACGCACCATGTTAAAAAAAGGGAATTTTTTTTTATGCAATATTATATATATTAGTATATTTCTTCCTTTTTGGAAGATTTCAATGATGATGCAATACGTAAATCCATTGACTGAGCTCTGAGTTGATGTGATTTTGACGATAAATGAGCGTTACTCCATTTAATTCCAGGCTTTAGCGGTTTGTCCCGTTGAAGGCGGTCAAGATAATTATTATCATAGAAAGCCGTTATGTTTTTTAATACATATTCATTAATTAATAATGGTAGCGGGTAGGTACTCTTCCACAATCCCAGTGGAGGATAGACTTACTTCAGGGATGCGATCCTGCCCTACGCGAGCCTTGATTCTCTCTCAACTCCTGTGGAGAGAAATCATGTCCTAACCCCATTCCTACCCAATACCTACTATCCTACCAATTTCCCAAACCAACTCACCAACCCGCCTGGCAAGCGTGGTGTTTAAATGCCAAAACCCCCTCAGCATGAACAGACATTCAAGAAAACGGCCCTCAGTCCCCGGCAGCTCGCTAGTTCCCGACCAAGGTAGCGGTAGGACTCACGGACAGCGGGTAGAGGGTGCGAAGAATCCCCGGGATGTAAGAGGCTACCAAGAACGACGAACGTTGCACATAATTACGTATAATGTAAGAACTTTATCTAAGGATGAAAAAATGACAGAACTGGAGGAAGAACTCAAACATGTGAAATGGGATATTATAGGAATTAGCGAAGTCAAAAGAAGAGGTGAAGATCAGGTCAAACTAAAATCAGGAAACATATTCCACTATAAAGGGGAAACGGAATCGACAACTGGAGGAATAGGTTTATTAGTACACAAAAAATTACAGAAAAATATACAGAGCATTGACTGCATTTCCCCAAGAGTTATGTATATAAATCTAAGACTAAATAAGAGATACAATCTGAAAATAATCCAGTTATACGCCCCCACCAGCGATTACGAAGATGAAATTGTCGAAGCCTTCTATGAGGAAATCGAAAGAACAAAAAAGCAGGAACCGGCTCATTACAATCTGATAATGGGAGATTTTAACGGGAAACTCGGAAGGAAAAAAGACGAACAAGAAGTGGCAATCGGAGATTTTGGAATCGGAGTAAGAAACGAAAGAGGCGAAATGCTTACCAACTTTCTACTGCAACACAAACTGTATGCAATGAACACATTTTTTAAGAAGAAACAGAATAGAAAATGGACGTGGGCTAGTCCAGACGGAAGAACTAAGAGCGAATATGATTATATAATAACAGACAAAAAGCAAATTATTCAAGATGTCACTGTACTCAATAAACTATCAGTAGGAAGTGACCACAGACCAGTAAGAGCTAGAGTAACGATCAATCTACAAAAAGAAAGAGCAAAGATGATAAACAGTTGTAAACGCATAGTTTGGAATTCACCAAATCATCCAGAAGCATATATAAGAAATATAGCCGAAACTTTACAGAGTAATAATCCCAAACCTCTAAGTATCGACGATCACAATAAATTAATAACAGACTCAGAAACGCACAACTCAAATTTTGCAAGAAAAATGGCACCAAAAGTGCAAAGATTAGCAAAGATACAAGGGCTCTCATGGAATTACGACGAAACCTAAGCGAGAACGAAAAGGGAAACAAAGAAGAATATAAAAAACTAAATAAAAGAATTTCAGCGGAAATTAGAAAAAATGTAAGAAGATATAATACTAATGTAATTACTCAAACAGTAGAAGAGAACAAAGGTTTAAAGATAATGAAAAGAAAACTTACGCAAAGTAAAAAAGAAATATAAAAGCTGAGAGATAAAGACGGAAAGGCAACAACAGATAAACAAAACATTCTGAAAATAACTAGAGAATTTTATAAAGACCTCTATACCAGCCAAAGACCACAAGACAATTTCCCGACACAAGTAAAGACTCTCATAAATCAGGGATCGGAAATACTTTTACCCATTACTGTGTCAGAAGTAAGAGCAGCTTTAAAGGAAATGAAGAACCATCGATCGCCTGGTGATGATGGACTCGTTATCGAGGCAATAAAAGCAGGTGGAGAAATTTTATTAAAATCAGTAAGCGAACTGTTTACTAAATGCTTACATGCGGGTACGATTCCAAAAGACTGGAACAATGCAGTAATAGTCTTGTTACACAAAAAAGGCGATATTACTAAATTAGAAAATTATAGACCCATCAGCCTCTTGACACATATGTACAAACTCTTTATGAAAATCTTAACAAAGAGGCTAACACCTAAACTTGATTTCTATCAGCGAAAAGAACAGGCAAGCTTTAGGGCAGGATATGGCACAAATGACCATTTGCATACCATAAAGATCTTAATAGAAAAGTGCATCGAGTACACCATACCACTGGTTCTTGCATTTGTCGATTACGAGAAGGCTTTTGATTCTGTAGAGTTTGAAACAATACTGGAAGCCCTAAATCAAAGCCGAATAGATTACAGGTACACGACACTAATCAAAAACATCTATCACAACGCTACATCAAGTATACGACTGCACGAAGACACAGAAAAATTCAGCTTAGGTCGAGGAGTTAGACAAGGAGACAATATTTCACCAAAATTGTTCACGGCAGCTCTAGAGTCAATATTTAAGGGTACTCAATGGCAAGATATGGGCATCAATATAGATAGAGAAAGATTAAATCACCTAAGGTTTGCAGATGATGTTGTATTAATCGCAGATAACTTACATGATACAGTTTCTATGATGCATTCGCTTAAAAGTCTGTCTGAAAGAGCAGGATTAAAGATAAACTTTGAGAAAACTAAAATTATAACAAATCTCGTAATGAGTGGAAATATAACTATCTGGGACACGAAATCAAAATAAGCAGAGACAATCAAACACATTAAATACAGAGGCGAATAGGTCTAACACGGGCAGCATTTGGCAAATTAAGCCATATTCTAAAAAGTTCAATTTCCATGTGTCTCAAGCGAAAGGTTTATAACCAATGTGTTTTACCTGTACAAACTTATGGAGCAGAGACTTTAACACTCACGCAAAAATCTGCGAATAAACTTAGAGTTACACAACGAGCCATGGAACGTGCAATGCTGAACGTGAGCCTTCGAGACCACATAACAAACCAACAAATCAGGCGAAGATCAGGAGTTCAAGACGTCATCGAAAGAACCACGACGCTTAAGTGGAACTGGGCAGGGCACTTAGCCAGAACACAAGATGGACGGTGGACCACAAGATGGACGGTGGACAAGACGTATTATGGAATGGAGGCCCAGAAATTATAAAAGAAGCCGAGGACGACCACCGACTAGATAGACCGATGACATTAAACGTGTAGCGGGAAACTGGCTACAAGCGGCCCAATGTAGAGAACACTGGAAAGAACTGAGGGAGGCCTATGTCCAGCAATGGACGCGATTGGCTGATTGATGATGATATTATTAATTACAATTACTAATATAATTTTAATATTTCAGAATTGTCGACTATTTCTTTGCTTTGAATATCGATTGCAATAAACATTTCTTCTTCTTCTTCACTGGCTTTACAACTCGGGGTGAGTCTTCGCCGCATCCATTATCGCCCTCCGTCCTCTACGATCTTGCACTTCTATTTCCCATTGTTGTACCGGAATTCTAGATACAACGGTTTCAACATCATCCTTCCATCTTTTTCTCGGTCGGCCTATTGATCTTCTACAATTAACATTTGCATACTTCAAAAGCTAAGGGATATGTTTGAAAATATGCTTTTTAACATTTAGGTTGGAGACAATAATTATAGTTGTCACATTAAATGGACACAACAAATATTGGTGTCTACATTTTCTCATTTTATACGTTGAGATTTTGTTCCTTCACACAGTTGCATATTTGATTTTCGAGGTATTATATAAAAAAATAGTTATTTTTGAACATTTCCAAATTTTATAAGGGCGTCATCTTTAACCAGTTTACAGTAATTTTATATCTTATTGAGTACATGAAAATAAATATTACCTGTTTAAGTAAGTTCTTAAAAGAACTCTTGTCATCATTGTTGAAAGCGGGATGAATATACAAATAGGACATAATTTCAACACATTCATTATAAATCTTCATAGGAGGCGTTATAAACTCCATAAACACCTGTTTGATAACCCTCAAATAACAATCTGCAGTTTTCTTGTTGTCTGGCTTTAGAAGTGGTAGGTGAGTTAGGAGTAAAGATAGTGCTACCTATAATGTAAAAAAGATTAAATTAGTAAAACTATCTATAAATAGCTCATCAACCATACACAGCTTAATAGTTATCATTTTACTAATACCAAGTTTACCTATACCTAATCTAATTATTTTACTTCGATAAGGCGAAATGCGTGCGTCGTTCGCTCACGAGGCGGCGACTGTCGTAGTATTCTTGAGCCAAGGGGACGGAGTGACTTTTCGTTGCGTTGTATAGTAGCATCGTATTTCCGTGAGACGTTTCCAGATTCCACTCGATATTAACAATCAGACGTGCCTGGTATAGTCTTTTAAAATATGAACCAGATATGAACAATCAACCAATTAAGTTTTCATCGAACTTATGATAAGTCCACGTGGACTAACGGCCAATGAAAACATCGGATATCGCTGTTATGACAAATCATAATGCATTATCTTTTGTCGGTAGACTTATTCATACTTGGGGTAAGATTATATCAGTATTTGACTGAGCTTACGGAGTCATAAAATAAGGTATCAGGTTTGGACCGTCCAGTGCCGAAGGCACGGATCGGGGAACACTTAGGTAGGCAAATTTTTATAATATTTTATTTTTAAATTGCGGATATGACCAACAGATTTTTGGGAGACAAGAATATTTTTAGTAAAATCATAACTGCTACAGCGTTCAGTTAAATTCAAATTTCAAATAGGGAACCGCAAGTTAGTTTGGTAGTGACTTTTTTCAGTGTTCTTTATACGGAAAACATTTCATATTTTACGTTTTTTTACTTTTTTTGATACGTTTTTACGTGATTATGTTTTTATACGTTTGATAATTTTAAAATATTGCGTCCGTGGTGCGATAATAATTATGTAGCTAAAGAGACAATGGAACCCTCTAATCGATTGGAAGATTTACAAAGGCGTGTAGTAAAACGTAAGCGACATTTTCAATGCCTTTCTGATGATGCCAAACGTATGCTAAAAAATGTTTATGAAGGACTGTGTGCTGAATTGTCTAAATCAGAGGCAATTGCAGAAACATGTTTTTAACCAGAGTGCCCAAAGCAACCTGCTACAAAATTATAGGAGAAACATCTTCTTCTAGACAGAAGAGAAAGGATTGTGGCAAATTCAGAAAAATAGAACCGCACTTAATTGAATCTATAACTAGAACAATATACCAAATGTATGCGACTAATATTTTTCCAACTATTGAAAGCCTTCGAAGTGAATTAGTTCGAAAGGGCATTCCCTCGTGTTCAGCAACAACACTTCGATTATTTCTTAAAGCCAATAATTTTAAGTACAAAACTATAGACAAGAGACAGACATTAATGGAAAGGACTAGAATAATTTCTTTAAGAAACAATTATATCAGACAGATAACTGAGTATCGAAAAATGAAACGAAATATTGTTTATTTAGATGCGACCTGGTATGATACTCATGAGAACGTAAAAAAAAAGTTGGACAAATTATAACAAAAAGTGTTTCAACTCAGTACCGCCCAATAAAAGAAAGAGGATTATAATTTTACACTGCGGTGGAGAAAATGGATGGGTCGACGATGCATTATTAATATCTGCAAAATAAATTAAAAACGCGTCTCTGGATTATCATGACGATATGAAAAGTTCAATTTTTGAATCATGGTTTGAAAAATCTCTTCTTCCGAAATTACTTAAAGATAGTGTGATTATCATGGACAACGCATTATATCATTCAAGATTAATGAAAAAAACTCTAAATAATAGTTGGAATAAATTAAAAATTCAGGAATTTTTATTCACGGAAGATTTGTATTTTGAGACATCTTATATTAAAAAGCAATTGTTGGAGGTTGTTCATAATAAACAGTACGAAATAGAATATGTTGTTGACAACTGTGCTCGTAGTAACGGGCATACTGTGCTTAGACTTTCTCCTTATTATTGTACATTGAACCCAATAAAGTTAATATGGACTCAACTTAAAGGAAATATAATGAGAAGAAACGTTGGTTGCTCCAAAATTTTTTGTCTACTGTTCTCCAGTTAATTAGAAGAGAAATCACAAAAAATACAGCAACCAATTGGAAAATGACTATGTTAAATATTTACCAGCATTAACCAAATTACCTATAAATTTAGATGATACGAGTGATACTAGTGGTAACAGTAATTCTGAGTAGATAGTAAGTACTTATTAGGTGTTAGTTGAAACCTTTATTTCTATTTTAATTGTAGATATTCTCATTTTGCTTATATATCTTTGAAAACAAGGTATAAACACACTTCTTGATAGGACAAAAATTATTAATGTTTTAGGGGAGTATGTCAACTGAAACTGTCACTGTCATTATCGCTGAATAACTACTATTATTTATTAACAATGTTTTATATAGATATTATTATTTTACAATAAGTTCTGTTCAGTCGAGTCGGTTAGTGTTATCACTCCCAAGATATATCACAGAAGTTAAAAACACCAGTTATTTTTTATTTAAACTTTATAGAAAATGAAACTTTTTGGTAAATAAAATTAAATAAAAGTAAAAAACTTTTATTTAATTTAAAATTAGATATCTACGCTACTGTTCTACTACTTTGTACTACAATAAAATAGTGGTAACTCTAAGAGCGTTAGAGTTACCACTAGTAGTATTTTGTTTGCTTTCGTTCCTGTAAATTTTCTCACGAAATTACGTGCCGACTATACCGTTCGTCGGTTTAGTGGTTTCGTTAAGGGTTGCCTTTCGCATACCCGGCTACAGGTCGTGTGCTTCGTTGCGAGCGTTAGCTTACCTCCAGCCTGGTTCGAGGACACTGTCAGGCGGAGAGTTTGACTGGGGCGGTACATCTGTCAAATAATAGGTATCCTAAGAGCAAAATATGCTCTATGTTTTCTCTTTCGTCTTCGAAAAACGCTTGGATGTATTCTATTCAGCGTTTTAGGTTTTCCTCAGTTTCAATTATGGTGTTCCTATTTTTGTCTAGAAGTGGCAACATATTGTTTCTCAGTGATAACCCTGCCATTCCTTTGAACTTATGTAGGTTGAACAAGTCACAATATTATTCTGGCGTTCTTCGATTTCTTTGCATTTCCCCTCCGTCTATTTGTTTTGTTTCTCTGATTTTGTTTCTGCTCTCATTGGTAATAAAATAAATAGTTCTATATTTGAGAGTGTTTTTATTCTTGGCTTGTCTACGCCATTCCATCATATTCAATAACTCCTCTTTCATGCAGCTCTCTATCTTTCTTACAAGCGCCTTCAATGTATGTTTGCTTGAACCGGGGTGACAGCTTTTTTTGTCTCCCGTTGTTGATTGATGTCCTCGATATTAGTGTCTAATTTACCACAGCTCTCAGATATTTTCAACGTTCCTTGATGCCTTTAAGGATAATATTGGCAATTATTGGGTTATGACAAGATGAGACATCTGCTCCTGGATATATTTTCACTGTTTTGATAGGTTTATGATATCTCTGGTTAATCTTGGTCTGTCTCTATCTAAATCTATCTGATTTCTGACTTATCTTTTCTGGGATATCTGCTGACGACCGCCATGTATATAACCGTCTCATTGATAATGTGTGTGTGTGTGTGTGATTAGTTCGTGCTGTTGGCTAAATTGTACTAACCGATCCCACTTTCATTACTCTTGACCAATCTGTAGTGTCCTACTATTCTTCCTGATCTTCATTTGGCAATTATTGCATTGAAGTCGCTCATGAATATAGTGATTTCCCGTTCTTCATAGTTATTTTTAAGGCATCATGAATATGCTGATACAATATTTCTATTTCATCTTCCGTTCCGTCTGTATTTGGCGAATAAACCTGAATCACATTGAATTTGGTGTGAATGTATTGATCTGTAGGGGCATCACTCGTTCGAAAATCGAGACAAAACCTTGTACTGCTTTATTCAATTCTTTATCGATAATAATGTATTCCATGTCTACGCCGGTTGTCATTGCTTCCAGAGTAGTATAACATATAGATCTTTATCGAAAAGCATACTGAGTTAGGTCACCATGTTTTGATTACTCGTAGTATATTAACTTTTTTTTTTGAAGAACATTATAAATTTAACAGGTTGATACATCCTTTTCACGTTCCACGTAGCATTTTTCATGTTGGATAATTGTATTTTGTTTTTTTGACAAGGATTTGGCCTTCTAACTATCCAAGAGTTCTTTTTCTCTCTTCCTTGCCCGATCTTGGGATCCGATTCCCATGATCAGCAACTCTTGTATGTAGTACTGATTGCCATGATAGTTGACCAGGAATATCTCCGCGAAAAAACAGCGGAAGAAATGTATGAGACTTTGAAAATCAAAATTCATGAAGCAGCATTAGAAGCTCTAGGTACGAAAGAAAAAGTAAAACGTAGAAATTATTGGTGGACAGAAGGTTTATTAGAACTGGTAGAAGAAAAGAAAAAACTGTATCTCAAATGGTTAGCGACAAAAGATGAGGAAGACCGAAAGAACTATAACAGATACAAATATATAGTAAAAAAGGAAATTAAAAAAACAAAAAACATAACCTGGGACAACAAGTGTGCAGAAATAAGCTCAATGGTAGGAGGATCTAGGTCCAGACAAGCTTGGAAAACTATCAACAGTCTTAGAAAAAATACAAGCGAAACAAAAAAAATAAACCCCATAGACATAGAAAAATGGAAAAATTATTATGAAAATTTATTAAATGAACAACGTACACAGTTTCTAGACACACAGATAGATAGAGTTGAAACGGGGTTAAATGAAGTGGCGATGATTACCGTAGAAGAAATAAAAAACGCATTACAAAAAATGAAAAATAATAAAGCTCCTGGGCCGGGTGATTTACCTATCGAGTTATTCAAACATGCCACTGCAATAACATTAGAATTGCTTTGTAAAATGTTTAACAAGTGCCTACAAGGAGAAAGTATCCCAAGAGATTGGAAAGTCTCGTACATAAACTCCATCTACAAAAAGGGAAACAGGAATGACTGCAGTAATTACCGAGGTATCAGCATTACGTCATCCACTGGCAAACTGTATGAAAGAGTTCTGAAAGCCAGAATAGAAAAAGAAGCCACAGAGATCGAAGAACAAAGTGGATTCCGACCAGGGAGATCTTGTGTCGACAATGTATTTACTCTCAAACACCTAACGGAAAAGAGATTAGCAAGAGGACTAGAACTTCATGCCACTTTTATAGATCTCCGTAAAGCGTTTGACTCCGTACCACTGCAGAGACTGTGGACAACATTGGAAAACGCAGGTATAAATGCAGTATATATAAATGCCGTGAAAAAGCTATATCAAGATAACCAAGCTTATATTAAGGTTGGAAACCAAATTTCCAAGGGTTTCACCCAAACAAAGGGTGTCAAACAGGGCTCTTGCCTCTCTCCAACCCTGTTTAAAATATATCTTGGTAATGCTTTAAAACATTGGATGAGAAAATGCAGCCCAATGGGCATATGGGTAAATGACACTCCTATATACACAATCCTCTTCGCAGACGACCAGGTAGTTCTTGCCGAGGACCTACAAGATATGACGTACATGATAAACAAACTAATAGACGAATTCAAAAAATGGGGATTAGAGGTTAATACCGAAAAGACACAATACATGAATATAGGAGGCATCGGTCAAGACATGGAAACAGAAAGCGGATTAATTAAAAACGTTGATCAGTACGAATATCTCGGAGTTACACTAAGCGAAGACGGGAGAGACGACAAAGATATAACAAGAAAAATAGGAAAAGGAAAAAACATGATAAAAACACTACATCCGATCCTGTGGAATAAAACTTTAACTAAGAAAACAAAGAAAAATATATATCAGGCTATGATTCAGCCGGTGCTGACGTATGGGTCAGAAGTGTGGGTCTTTAACAATATGTCACAAAAACTCCTCTCAACGGAAATGATGTACTGGAGAAGATGTTCCGGGTTAACTTTGTTTGACCACATAAGAAATGAAAACATAAGATAGAGAATGAAAGTAAAGAACACAATAATGGATACGATAGCCGAAAAACAATTAAAATGGTATGGACACCTGAGACGGATGAACGAAGAAAGGATACCACGAAAGGTTTGAAACTGGAGACCTACACAGAGAAATAAAAGGGGAAGGCCAAGAAAGAAATGGATATCCAATATTCACATAGAAATGGAAAATAGAGGTCTTCAAGAAGGAGACTGGGCCGATAAGAAATTATGGCGATTGGGATGCGAGAAGCGACAAAATTAAAGTTGCAAACACTCGCTATATATATATATATATATATATATATATATATATATATATATATATATATATATATATATCTCCGCGAATCTTTAAAGTGATAGTCATCTGGTGGCATCAACTGCCGTTGACTATTCGTAAATAGTTCCTCCGTATATGACTACAAGCCTAATCATAACTTGTTTCATATATTCTTGATTTGGTCTCACAATTTGGTAGCTAGCTCATTAAGTCTTTGTATATATAAGTGCATTCATTACCGCTGATAATCCTTGCTTGTGTTTCTTGACTAACGATGTTATTGTCATTTAATATTGAGTTCAGGTAGGGGAAAATTAATACATGCGCGATACATGATCAAATATTATGATTATTTTGTTATTGATTATGCCGAATTTTTTGTCAAGATAAATAATAATGAGGTGGTTTCTTTTCTGATGTTTATTAGTTTACTTGTAGCAGTAAGCCTTTTTCTATCATAAAGCAGAACAATCTGTGTCTGTAAACAGATGGGCGGATAAGCTTTCAAAGCTTCAAAAATTAAGTACTATTTAGAACATAATTTTTTCAGCAAATAAGATAAAAAATACATACCTGTGGCGGTTCAAGTAAAAAACTGGAAATATGTGCAGTGTCATTGGCATTCCTTTCTAAAATCTGAGCTGCAGGTGTATTTACAGCATTTATGGACATCTCCAGAGTATGTTGCAAAAACCTGGCATTTGCAAATGGTAGCCCTACCATTAGGTAGTACAGACCCACAGTTCTTTCGCAACCATCCCATTTGAGAAACTTGATTCTGATTTCGTTGAGCTGCTCACAAAATTCTGAGAAATCTCGTGTGTGACCATTCTCCATTTGGAAGTCTGTGAAGAATAAAGGACTTGTGTAGTGTTACATACAAGATCAGTTTACTTTTTATCTCTATGCATATTATATAATTCGATAATGCAAAAAGGAATGGATAAATATAGTAAAAATACAGATATTTTTCATGTAGAGACACTTAATCTTAGAAAATAATTTGATTTGAAATCTGAAAACTTACAGTTCTGCATCTTTGATAATGTAACTTATCTATACGTTAAAAATATAGAGATATAAAACAAATTATAGTTGTTATTACAAAATTAGCAAGATAATAGAGAAACTAATTCATCAGTTATTCATCAATGGTCTACCCGGGGATGATTGGTGGAGAAATATTAAAGATCATTATAAAATTTCTCTTAAAAAACCCAAACGTTTAGAGGGTTCCAGTTCACAAGCCGGAGATCCTTTTATTGTTAATCATTTTTTTGACCTGCTTGGTGAACTTATCCGTGATTTAGGTCTAGAAAACAAGCCTGAAGTTCTTTGGAACCGTGATGAAACTGCGTTTAATAGTGATCCTAGCTCAACCAATGTGGAAATGTTAAAGGGGAAATTCTACCCCCTGCAATAATTCATAAGGGGAAGAGAATTTAGGATAGTATATTTGGTAGTCAGTAGTCATCATTATATTACACAACTGAAAAGGACTGGATGACAGATGTGGTTTTTCTTATGTGGTTTAAGAAGTGTTTTTAGGTCATGTTACACAACGACCAGTTGTGTTCAAAAGACAGTTCATTTATTAGTATTTCTCAGATTATAGGAATATTGATGGATCTGATATTATCTCTTAATGGTGAAAGAATTCGGTACACTTTTAATGGAAAAGTTGATGTTTTTGAATGTTAGAATTTGTAAAATAAGAAAAGGTTCTCAATATAATGCCTACATTAATAAAAAAATTGGTGTTTTAAATAAGAAATTTCATATTTTTTGTTCTACAATTGTCGAATTTTTAAATGTCAAAAATTATTACAATATTTTTGAAATGTCTTTGTCACACCAAGGCACACTCAATCCTAGGTGCTTTTAAATGGCAAAAAAGCTAGTTGTCACACTATTACTACTCCTAGTAACAGTAACCCCGTAATGAAGGGATAGTGTGACACCTTACCCTCTTAAATAAAACATGCTTATTCCCCGTGCAATGATTGTGACAACTGACCAGAAAGTCTTCATTAAAAATCTGAAACAGTTCAATTAAAGACAAATATTCTTCTTCTTCGCGTGCCATATCAGAATTATCCGACGTTGGCAATCACCATTGCCAAGGCTTCTCGATCTTCTGCAATATGGAATAATTGTCCTGCATTTGGTATCCGAGTCCATTCACGAATGTTTTTTAACCAAGAAACTTGTTTTCTTCCTACACCTCTATGGCCCTCTATTTTGCATTTAAGGATCAGTTGTAAAATTTTATATCGACTTCCCCTTACTATATGTCCAAGGTAAGACATTTTTCGATGTTTAACAGTCTTTAGCAGTTCTCTATATTTGTTGAAGCTATTTAGTACTTCTTTATTAGTTTTTCTTGCTGACCAAGGTATCTTCAGCATTCGCTTATGAACCCACATTTCCAATGCTTCAATTTTGCTCATGATCGATACTTCTAGCGTCCACACTTCTACACTATACAAAAGTACAGACCAAACATAACACTTAACCATTCTTTGCCTTAGTTCTAAACTGAAATGGTTATTGCAAAGAAATGACTTCATTTTCATAAAAGTAGTTTTAGTCATTGCTATTCTACATTTTATTTCTATGTCTGGATCTAGTTGGTCTGTTATCACAGTTCCCAAATATGTCATTTTGTGAACTTTCTCAACTGGGATTCCGTTCGATTGAAGCTTTGCATCGGGATGTGGGTTACGACTAAACACTAAAAATTTGGATTTGTTTGAGTTTATTTTAATGCCCATTTCCTCTCCTACCTCGTGAATACAATCAAGCAGAATTTGAAGACCTTCAATATTATCTGGTAGAATTACTGTATCGTCTGCATATCTAATCACACTAAGTAGTTCCCCGTTGATTTTTATTCCATACAGTTATCTCTTAAGTCCCTTTTTAAATAACTGGTCCGAGTAAACATTGAACAATGTTGGCGACAAAATGCAACCTTGTCTGACTCCTCGTTGTATGGGGATTTCATTGGTGTAGTTATCTCCAATTTTTACGATAGCAGTTTAATTCTAGTACAAATTTTTAATGACACAAATATCCTTGTCATGTATTCCAATATTTTTCAGTATTTGCATTAATTTTACCTGCTGTACTTTATCGAATGCCTTTTTAAAGTCTACGAAACATGCAAATACATCTTTTCTTTGGTCACAGCTTTTTTGTAATAGGATGTTAAGGGCAAAAAGTGCCTCCCTGGATCCCATAGCATTTCTAAAACCAAATTGGGTACCTTCAAGATCTTATTCGCATTTGTGTTTAATTTTTTTGTGAAGTAATCTGAGGAAAATTTTAAGAGTGTGGCTCATTAGGCTATATGTGGTGTTATATATTGAATTAAAAAGTCTTACTACTACTTTTATGTTATCATTCTCTATTAGTTTCAACAACTCAGTTGGTGTATCATCTGGACCACAAGCTTTTCTAATTTTAGCATTACTTATAGCATGTTCTATTTTGCATTTCATAATTTCTGGGCCGTCAGCACAGTTTTAGTAGAATTCAGCAATATTATTCCTGTCATCTTCACACAACTCTGATATATACCGCTGCCATTCTTTTCTTATTTCATGCTCATTTATAATAATTTTGTCATTAATGTCAACAAGTACAGAGGGAACTCGTTTTTTAAATATAATACTCATTTCTTTCAGTTTTTTGTGCACATTAAATAAGTCGTGTTTAAAAATTACAACCTCCATTTCGTCGCACCTTTCTCTTGTCCATTTTTCTTTGGCTAATTTGATCTTCTTTTTTATTCTTCTCTGCAGGTGTCTATATTCTGTTACATTAAATTTTATCAGTCGACGTTGTTCTATTAATTTCAAGATGTCATCTGTCATCCATTTATTAAAAGACAAATATATTTTTTTTAATTTTAAAATCAAATTTGCATATTTTTACATCACACTAACCCTGGGTGACCCTATATTTATAAATTACGCCTGAATACAGTGCAGCTAGTTGCCCAAGAGATTTGTATAAATTACCAAGACTCTTCTCAAGAAAAGCACTGTCTATACCCAAGAAGATTATGAACATTCAGTCAATGTATATACAGGATGATTGATTATTGTGATGAAGCTCAGTAGATCCGCTATAATAATAGATAGCAATAAAAGTTAATAACAAAAATTGTAGGCAACTTTGAGGTACACATTACAAAATTAGTAAGAATGTTACAGTGTTCAATAACATAGTGGCAGACCAAATTTGTTTTTTTTTCTTAATGAAATATTCTATATTTTATTTTATATTTGAAATCTTTACTTTTTCATCACAACAATATAGTTTTATTATGTTATACAGGGTATTTACAAAGTTATATCCAATTTTCTATGAAAATCATAGAAAGTTCAACTCCCTGTATAATTGCTAATTTTCTTTATATCAATACAGGGAGAGTCAAAACACATTATTTTTTCAGTAATTTTCAATAAAATTCCCTGTATTTTATGTCACTATTGAAAAGAACCATTACCATACTTCAATGTTTATTTAATATGTCCCTATCCCTATGTATTAATTGTTGAGATATTTTTATTTTTCAAAGCAAATTATTAATTAGGTAAAAATTTTTAAGTAAACCATGACTAAATTGTCTAAAACTGACAGTTCACCATAATTGTTTGTGTATAAACTTACTAAGTAAATAGTTAAGATGAATTTTATTGTTGACGAAATGGTGAATATAATCTAGATATTGGATTTTTTAGTAATAAATATTAATGCCTTTCATCAAAAATTAAAAATCTAGTTTATAAGAACCACTTCATAACCTCCTCACACTGACATTTTTTACACTTATTTTTTGTTTCCTGTTAGTGTAAATAGGTTTAAGTTTTCTGTCTGTTAAATAAATATCAATAATGATAGTATATGTACACATATACAAATTGTTACAACAGTTGAAAGTCATTTTCTTATACATACAAAATTTGTAAGTAAAGTGTCAAAGCAATTATATTAGTGTTTGTATTAAATATATATATATATATATATATATATATATATATATATATATATATATATATATATATATATATTACGAAGGCTATGTGAGTCTAATTTGACTCACATCGCCTTCGCTCAGGGTCTACAATTGCATATTTAGCATTTTTATTAAGTGATATTATTTTTTAATTTCATGAAATAAAGAAATAAATAAAGTATTAGATGATGACAACCGAAGTTATTAGTATTAAAAAACATGGCAATAAATCCACAGCAATAAACCAAAAATTTTGAATAACTAAAAGGTAATAATTTTAGGAACACAATTTATTGTCAATGAAAAAATAGTACAATTATCAATCTTGACACAGTGGCAGTATTCATTCAAATGTCCAAGCTATTCAAAAGACACAGTTTGAATTTGGAATTTAAAATCATTTGCCCCGATAATTCATATAAATATAGATGTAAGAGTCTAGGATCTTGTTCTAAGTAACACCTAAATAAATTGGAAGTACTTATATATTATATAAGATGTGGATAATAAAAAAGAGAATGTGTAGTTATTTTTTATTTCTAAGTATATAGTTTTCTGAAATCCATAGTACAAGAAAAATTGTGGGGTAAGAAATCTGTTTATAGAATACAAATGCACAAAATAGTAACAAAAGAAAATTGTCTTTCGCAAAGATTGACCTTTTTCAAAATCTCAACAGTTGCTTTATGGATTTGATCACCAATAACACTGTTAGTTAAAATTATCTATTGAATCCTGTTTTCTTTCACTACTCCTGTACTCTCTAATTTCTGAATTACATTTTACAATTATAGAGATATGAGAACAGATTTAACATTTACATGAATTGTACTTTACTTAAGCATATCATTTCTATGTATCAATTTACTACTTTAGCATACATAGTCTGTAGCAGTCTTGGTAAATAAAAATCTTAGATAAGTACCTAAATAGCAAAATTTGCTTTGAAATTCTTATGAAACTGTAATGCCATGAACTGGACTTGACAAAAGTGACAATTATAATGTATGTAGTATAACTTTTAAAATAGAAGTTTTTTTACATTTCTGTTTGTTTTTCTTAAACTGATTTCATATTTCTTTAGGTTAAGCATAAACCATTGAGTTTTATATTAAATATACATGGTTATCCTTTTTTAGAACGCATTCCAATCAGCCTTTATATCATAAACAATGAATCATTCTAGATTTTTAACAAATTTGCAATACATGGTATTTTTACAGAATTTAAAATTCGAAACTGCAATAAAGCAGCAGTGATTCAATTGAATATGCATTACTTAACTGCACATACGAGATTTATTACTTTTAAAAATAAATGCATACTAATTACACACTGGTTGTTTTTGGAGAACAAAATTTAAGTTTATGTTAAATATTAACCTACTTTTCTCCTATTTAAGTGAATGATTTTCTTACCTTAACAGATCCTTATATTTCAGAACTAGTCACAATACCGTTTTTATAAGCTACTGCTGGTTGTCTCTTTTTTGCAATTTTTTTGTTTTTCAATAGAAACTTTTTAATTAATACTTATATGTCATTTTGTTATCTACATATTAAAAACAGGAACAGACCCAGTGTCAACCAGGTGTCAACTATAAACTATACTATGACAGAAGGACAGAAAGAAGTTGACAGTCTCAAAATTGGAATACTCTGTTCCACAGATCACCTCTGTCACCTCTGTGCCACAGAATAATGAACACTCAGAATGCCCACTCTTCATGGAAAATTAGATACGCGCATCTCCTTCGCGCAGACGTTCCGCCATGTTTTACAGAGAACCAGCGTTGTTTATGTGGTGTGTATAAACAAAATTAACCCGGTTTAATTGACTTACGGCAATCATAGATATACTATACAATTATATCAACATTGTTAAATATAATAACATAAATATATAATAGAATTAAACATAAATATAAACAATTACATAACCTCACAAATCCTTGTGTCTGTGTTATGTGTTTCCTTCTAAAACATGGCGCGCGTGCTGAAAAACTTCAAAGGCGGCATCTGAGAGTGGACATTCTGATTGTTTATTATTCTGTGTCTGTGCTCTGTTCGTGACATAGACATATATAAATATACTGTTCGCACGGTATAAACCAATGACGTATAATATATAGACTCGGTGAACGCTTTAAAAAGTGTCCAAAACATGAATACCTTTGTTATTGTTTATTGTTTTGATACGAAGATGCACGAAGTTCATGATTTCTTACGAAGCATCACGAAGTTGATCTTGTGTTTGAAAACATCATGGACGTACTCCATTTTGTGTGACAAGCAAATTTTATTTTAAATTGTTGATAGTTATTTACTTACTATTTTAGTAAAATGCCATACTATTTTATCAAAATAATTATTTCTCTTATAGACGGGAACAAAAAGAAATCATAAATATTTAATTTTAATTAAAAAAATAATTATTGTCATTAACATATAAATGAGCACGCCGCTGTTGTAATAAACATACCTTCAACCTTGAGCAGAGATCTTTCGGACACTCGATTCTATAGCGAGAATAGGGGACTGCGTAGTCTATATATTATACGTCATTGGTATAAACCATCGAGTTAAGTCCGCTTTACATTTACGAGTACCTACTCGTACAGCCAACCACTGGGATTATCGATATTATTATGATCTTAGACAAAGACATGCGTGATAGAAAAATTCTGCTTATAGATGGAATACTAAAACAATATTTTAACACAAATAAACGTTTTTATTCTAACTCAAATTCCTTTTTACAATATATCAAAGTTCTACTTGTTGACGTTGGCATTAGTGTCGCTGAATGGTGCCTGTGCAGAGACATGTAAAGGTCGATTCAGACACATCAGTCCCGTCATAGTCTCGGCACAGAATAATAAACAATAAGAAGGGCCCTCTCAGATGCCGCCTTTGAAGTTTTTCAGCACGCGCGCCATGTTTTAGGAGGACACAGACATATGATTTGTGTGGTTATGTAATTGTTTATATTTATGTTTAATTATATTATATTTATGTTATTATATTTAACAATATTAATATAATTGTATAGTATCTCTATGATTGGCGTAAGTCAAATAAACCTGGTTAATTTTTCCATGCACACCACATAAACAACACTAATTTCTTTAAAATCCTCCTAAAACATGGCGGAACGTCTGCGCGGAGGAGATGCGCGTACTTAATTTTCAGTGGAGAGTGGATATTCTGTGTTTATTATTCTGTGGTCTCGGCGCCGAACCGGTCCTGTTTGGTCACAGAACTATCAACTATCTGACAGCTGGGAAACTGTTCGTCGCCTGATGAATGTGAATGACGGTGCCATATTTCTATTAAAGAATATTTTGTATAAATCGACCTTTAAGGTCGATTTAGACAAATCAGTCACGTCTCGTCACAGTCCTGGCGCCGAACCGAACAATCCGTCATACAAAATATTCTTTTATAGAAATATGGCGCTGGCATTCACATTCATCAGTTGACGAACAGTTTGCAGCTGTCAGATAGTTGATAGTTCTGTGACCAAACAGGACCGGTACGGCGCCGAACCGGTCCTATTTGGTCACAGAACTATTAACTATCTGACAGCTGGGAAACTGTTTGTCAACTGATGAGTGTGAATGCCGGCAACATATTTGTATTAAAGAATATTTTGTATGACGGATTGTTCGGTTCGGCGCAATCACTGTGACGAGACGTGATTGATATGTCTGAATCGACCTTTAGAGAGCTTCTCTTACATATCTCTGTGCCTGTGCCACCCTGTGCCTAACACTTAACTCATAAAAATATACAATACAATATACAAATATACAATATAAGAATTGTAATTGACATACGATGACAATCCGAAGAAACTGTTTGTTATTACCAATGACGTATAATATTATATGTCATCGGTTATTACCGCATATGCAATCCGTAATACTATTTTAATAGTATTTATCAAGCAATCCTGGTTGCATATACCTACCATCTGTATCTTTATTATAACAAAATTGTACTAACAGTTAGTATCGTTTATTTAAATGAAACATTTTGTAAGCAAAATAAAATTTAATATTCAAGATGATTCAAAACGCAAGCTTTAAAATATATCAACTTTCAAATGGATCACCCTATATGTTATAATTGTTTATATTAGGAATAACTTGAATTGATTTAAGTTTCGTTAATTAGGTACTTTCTCTACCTAAATTTAACATTATTAGGATATTTGTCTTTTAATGTATGAATGTATTCCTTTTAATTACTTTTCCTTTTGCTTCTTTCTTGTTGACGTCCCCTTAACGAGTAGATTTGTATGGGGTGCTAGTTAATACTGCACTTCCACAAGATTTTCTTTTTGTTGTGGTTCCCTTGCCTTGAATTTTACGGAAAGTTTGTCATTCTTGTGGTATAACTGTAAAGGATGAATTCATTTATTCATCTTGTTTTGAACTGGACACAGGCTCAGGATTCTTGTATTCTGATCATTTATTTCGCTAGAACGATTATTTGTTTGGTTGGTTATGCCTGTTGATAAATCAACTACCTTACATGAACTAGATCCTTGAGCCATATCCTCACCATTATCAAGGTCAGTTACTTTAGCTGCTAAGAAGTCGATATCTGGAAAAACTCCTAGGTCAAACGGAAATACGCCAGTTTTGCTGAACCGTTTATCCCATTTGTTGGTATACAAGCCTTTAAGTAGCCTAATCAAAATATTTGGCTAATTTGAAATACTGACACTGTTCTACCAGGATGATGGTTTAACCATTTTTCTAATGCTTGGTCTCAATAAATGTCAAGTGGACCCATAACACCAACGTCCAGCGGCTGCAGCTTGTGCATGTAGTTGACGGGTAATAACAAAATAGTTACAAAGTTTTCTCTGGCACTAACAATAACATCGAGATTTCTGGTGTGCCATAAATGTCCTTCTAATATAAGACGCGCTCTTGGATATTTGTTTTCACAAAACATATGAAATGAACAAACCACTGCTTAAAAACTTCTGTACGCATCCAACCACTTTCATTATAAGCAAATATGGTACCCGAAAGAGCTACGTTTGTCAGTTTAGCTTTCATTCGCAAATTCCTCTCTCCGCTGATGTTACCCTCGCAACTTGTTTGGAACCTCTTTTACTAATATTCTTGAATTTCGCAGCAACAGTAAAAATCGAAATCTCGTCAGCGATATACACTCGGTGAGGAGCATAATTATTTTTTGCATAAATCTCTTTTAACATATTAAAGAATTTTGTCACAACCGGTTTGTTGAAGGCTCTTGCTCTAGCACCTAAGGTCGCTTCAGGACATTTCAAGGAAATTTCCTTGTGTCTTCTTCTAAAACCATTCAACCAATCTTTAGTAGCAGCTTTTTCGACACGGGAAAAATTGTGGGGCAGTTTTTTTTTCAGTAAGCTGATACGCTAATTGTCACAAATCACTCAAGGTGAGTCCATACATCCTTCTTTCAAGATCTAGGATATGCCTTACTGGTGGCTGTTCTTGTTCCGACGAAAATACAGGGCGGTAGCTACCAATTGACTTCTTCTCTAGCTTTGCTACTTTATTTTTGTCAATTACATACTGCTTAGCGACGTTCTTGGCACCTGGAAGATTCGCGCAGCGGTTTTGAAAGGCATTCCTCGATTGCTAAAAAACAAATATCGTACCTTATATTGTAAACGGCGAAAACCCAAGTTCACTACTTAGTACTCTAGTATTCAATATTAGTTATTCAACAAAAAAGGCGAACTTTAAAACAAAGAGATAATTTCAATTCGTGGGGATCATTTTACGCCCTCTTCCCTCCTGTATTTTTTAAAATATAAAATAGCGGTTTTGAAAGGCATTCCTCGATTGCTAAAAAACAAATATCGTACCTTATATTGTAAACGGCGAAAACCCAAGTTCACTACTTAGTACTCTAGTATTCAATATTAGTTATTCTACAAAAAAGGCGAACTTTAAAACAAAGAGATAATTTCAATTCGTGGGGATCATTTTACGCCCTCTTCCCTCCTGTATTTTTTAAAATATTTTCTAACTCTCCAATTTCTACATGGCCTTGAAATATGTCTGGTATACCTCCTACTCGGTTTACTATTAATGGATGTGTCGGGTTATATTGTGCCATTAAAGGGGGATTTTACAGAAAAAAAAACATTCTATTCATCATCATAAGACGTAGTGTGGGTGAAGAGGTTTCCTTTCATTCGTTTTGTTTAGCGCCATACGTGAGTTTGCAGCTAGGAAGTTTGCAAGTGAGCCTTTATTTATATATTGAATCATGGCATTTTTCCTTTATTGTATGGCCTGTGTGCATTATTCAATTCACCAAGGAGTGATTTTTCCTAATCTTGGCTCACATGGTTTGTTTATCGGAATATAATTGTGGGCCGACTGGCTTATTTCTTCTATAAGGTCTTATGTACATTTCTAATTATTATTGACGAAATTAGGTTTATATTTTTCAAAGCATGTTTTGTTCATAGGAATTTCATCAGCTTTTTTTACGTCCCATTTTGTTGCCGGATATATTGTCAATTTTTATCTGATATTGAATATTCCATTATGATTG